AACTGTAATTTTGCTACTGCTATGAATTACAGTGTAAATATCTGTGTTTTCTGATGGTCATAGGTATCCCTGCGAAAGGGTCATTCATATCCCAATGGGTTGAGAACCACAGGGATAAGACTCTACTGTCTGTCTCACTGGTCCCCGAAGCCTTCATTTTGATAGTTTGGTTTCATATATATACACACACACACACACACACACACCAGAAGAGGAGACCAGATCTCATTACAGACAGTTGTGAGCCACCATGTGGTTGCTGGGAATTGAACTCAGGACCTCTAGAAGAACAGCCAGTGCTCTTAACCTCTGAGTCATCTCTCCAGCCCTTGTTTTGGTTTTTTGAGACAGGGTTTCTTTGTCCAACAGTCCTGGTTGTCCTGAAATTCACTTTGTAGACCAGGCTGGCCTCGAACTCACTAAGATCTACCTCCCAAGTGCTGGGATTAAAGGCATGTGCCATTACTTCCCAATCAGATTTTTTTTGTTTTGTTAAACAGGGCCTCATTTCATTTATCTCAGGCTGGCCTCAAATGTAATGTGTAGCTGAGAATGACCCTGAAGTTGTTAAAAAATATATTTATTGTATGCTTGCACGTATGTCTGTGTGCCAGCTATGCTGGGTGCCTGCAGAAGCCAGAGGTTATCAGATGGCCTAGGACTGGAGTCAAATGGTTTTGAGCTGCCATGTGGATGCTGGACAGCAAACCCAGGTCCTCCGGAAGAAGAGCCTATACTCTTAACCACTAAGCCATCTTTCCAGCCCAATCTTTAACTTCTGATCCTCCTGCTGACCTCTCAAAGGTGTGGGGCACTATACTCAGCCCAGAGCCAGAACATGAGGCTCACGTGTGTCAAGGAAGACTCAGCCAACTGAGCTAAATCTGTAATCCTACCACTAAAAGATTTATTCATTTTATTTCATGTGTATTCATGTTTTGAATGAACATACAAGAACCATGTGCCCGCCTGGTGCCAACAGAGGCAGAAGACATCAGTCACCCTGGAACTGAAGTTAAAGAGATACAGGTGCTGGGAACCAAACCTGGATCCTTCTACGAGAGCGAGTGCTCTTATAAGCCATCTCTTTGACCCCATCCTTTTCTTTTAAAAAAAAAAATTACGTTATTTTTTATTTATTTGGCTTTTCAAGAAACCTTTGGAGCCTGTCCTGGCACTGGCTCTTGTAGACCAGGCTGGCCTCGAACTCAGAGATCTGCCTGCCTCTGCCTCCTGAGTGCTGGGACTAAAGGCGTGCGCCACCATCGCCCAGCTCACCCTTTTGTTTTTGAATGAAATTGTGTGTGTGTGTGTGTGTGTGTGTGTGTGTGCAGTGCCCAGGAGGCCAGAAGAGATTGTTGGGTCTCCTGGAACTGAGGCTACAGGTGCTGTGAGTTCCTGATGTGGGTGCTGGGAACTGAACTTCAATCCTCCAAACAAGCAACAAGCCAGTTCTAACCACTGGGCCAACTCCTCTGGGGCCACCCATTTTCCTCCTTTTTTTTTTTTTGTTTGTTTGTTTCTCTACATAACAGCCCTAGCTGTCCTGGAACTAGCTCTTGTAGACCAGGCTGGCCTTGAACTCACAGAGTTCCTCCCGCCTCTGCCTCCCAAGTGCTGGGATTAAAGGCACAGGCCACCACTGCCTGTCTGACAAAGCTTCTCTGTGTAACAGCCCTGGGTGTCCTGAAACTCACTCTGGAGACTAAGCTGGCCTCAAATGCCCAGAGATCCACCTACCTTTGCCTCCCAAGTGCTGGGATTACATCTATGCCTTATTTATCACATCCAGCTATAGAGTGCCGAGAGACTTCTTTTTTTTTTTTTTTTTTTTTTTTTAAATTCTTTGTACATCATTTTTGTCTGGAGGCCAGAAAGTGGCTGTAAGAATCATTTCTCAGCTCTCAACAGAGGAATCTAAAATGGCTCAAAGACACTTAAGGAAATGCTCAACATCCTTAGTCATCAGAGAAATGCAAATCAAAACAACTCTGAGATTCCATCTTACACCTGTAAGAATGGCCAAAATCAAAAACACTGATGACAACTTATGCTGGAGAGGTTGTGGGGAAAAAGGAACACTTCTGCATTGCTGGTGGGAAAGCAAGCTGGTACAACCCCTTTGAATGTCAGTGTGGCGATTTCTCAGAAAATTAGGAAAAAACCTTCCTCAAGACCCAATAATACCACTTTTGGGTATATATCCAAAGGATGCTCAATCGTACCACAAGAACATGTGCTCAACTATATTCAGAGAAGCACTGTTTGTCATAGCCAGAACCTGGAAACAACCTAAATGCCCCTCAATCGAAGAATGGATTAAAAAAAAAAGTGGTACATTTACACAATGGAGTACTACACAGCAGAAAAAAATAATGACAGCTTGAATTTTGCAGGAAACTGGATGACACTAGAAAACATTACTTTGAGAGAGGTAACCCAGACACAGAAAGACAATTATCACATGTACTCACTCATAGGTGGTTTTTAAACATAAAGCAAAGAAAGCCAGCCTACAAACCACAATCCCAGAGAACTTAAACAACAATGCAGACACTAAGAGAGACTTACATAGATACAATCTACATGGGAAGTAGAAAGTAGAAAAAGACAAGATCTCCTGAGTAAATTGGGATCATGGGAACCTTGGGGAAGGATTGAAGAGGGGAGGGGAGAGGCAAGGAGGGGAACAGAGAAAAATGTAGAGCTCAATAAATATCAATAAAAACATGTATTTAAAAAAATCAGTTCTCTGCTGGGCAGAGGTGGTGCATGCCTTTAATCCCAGCAAGAGGTGGGCATATTTCTTTGAGTTCAAGGCCAGCCTGGTCTACAGAGTGCGTTCCAGGACAGGCTCTAAAGCTACAGAGAAACCCTGTTTCGAAAAACAACAAAAAAAAAACAACAACAACAACAAAAAAAAAAAGAATCAAAGAATCAGTTCTCTCCTTCCACCATGGGGGCTAGGTAGGAGCTGGGAATCAAACTCAAGTCTTCAAGCTTAACAGCAAGAGTGGAACTCACTGAACCACCTCACACCTCACCAAGCCTACAGTGACTTTTCTAACAATCACCCATAGACATGATACAATCATGATGAATGTTCTGGGCCCCATCCTGATCCAGCCTCACCTCCTGCTTAAGCAGCAAGAACTGCCTCTACAAGTTGATACTGAAAAAGGGAATGTCGCCACTTGTAAGATACTGTATAGTTACTGTAACAACTGTCCCTCTACAAGCTGATATTGAAAAACAGAATGTAATGACTTGTAAGACACTGTATAGAGTCCCTGAACAACTGTCCCTCCTCACAGGCACCAAGCTGCTCTTTTGTGAACCTTCTCTCATTTAAGGCAGCCCTGAGTGTTCATGTCATCGCTATCACCATGGCGGGTTATTAATAGCAGTAACACGTGTTGGTGCAGGTCTCACACAACACTCAGTACTCTGATCTCATTTAATCCTCACCACAACCGTTACCTCTTTACACACAGGGAGATGAAACTGAGAAAAAGCAATTTTACCAATTGCATACAATAAAAGAGCTGGAGAGGAGATAACCCACTCCCACCCACTGTGTGATCCTAGAGACCACCTTTAACTTCTGCATCATTCTGTCTCCAAAAACACCTCTCACCACAACGGTACGTTCTGACTCTCAAGCATCTTGTATCTATTTCCAAAGTCATAGGAGGAAGCAGAGTCACTTTTTCTCAGTTACCTTGGCTTTAACAAACCTGCTTTTGAAGAAGTTCCTCCTTCTAGTCAACAGAGATGGCCTCTGTCCTTTAACCCATTTTCTCTCATCATAAATACTGTAAAGGGAGTGATGAACACACTACAGTGTCACCCTTAAGACCTGACAAGACTATCTCCAAATATGTCACGTTTTGTTTTGCTGATCATAGTCTTGCTATGTAACCCAGGCTGACAGACACCTCCATCCTCCCGCTGCATTTTCCTAGTGCCAAGATTACAGGTCTCCATCGCCACACCTGGCCTCCCTTCCCTTTTCCTTCAACTACAGCTAGAAACCTTGCCTATGTCTATACACTCCTAGCCTATGTGCACGTCTCAAAAAAGGAAGTAAGAGTTTGATGTGGGGGTTCACACTGTAACCTCAGCATTCCTGAGACAGAGGTAGGCAGCTATGAGTCTTTTTTTTTTTTTTTTTTTTTTTTTGGTTTTTCGAGACAGGGTTTCTCTGTGGTTTTGGAGCCTGTCCTGGAACTAGCTCTTGTAGACCAGGCTGGTCTCGAACTCACAGAGATCCGCCTGCCTCTGCCTCCCGAGTGCTGGGATTAAAGGCGTGCGCCACCACCGCCCGGCTGCAGCTATGAGTCTTGAGGCCAGCAAGGGGACTACCCAGAGAAACCTGTCTCAAAAGGGGGGGGGGGGGGCAGCAAAGGAAAACTGGCAAGACCGCAGGAGACTGAATAGGTGACACACGGGAACCTTCCTTTTCCAGCTGCATCCAAGGTCGGTGATTCACACAGTGCAAAGACGAACCTAAGCCGATCGAGCCTTTCTTAAAATTAGCTTTAACAATTTATTCAAACTCAGGGCCCATACGCAGAACACCACTGCCTGTCCAGACAGGGGGAGACTACCCCAAAACAGGCTGAAGACAAAATGGCAGCAAAGTCAGTCTCCATCTACCTGACTGGGGACAGAGATGGAGGTATGCAGAGACTAGATTCTATCCTGTTGCAACGAGTCAAGCAATCAGACTCCTGCAGCAGATCTCCTCCCAATAAAACTTTCATGCCGCAGACCATGGGTGACCCAACCCAACAGCAGCTGAGACAGGTTTTACATTACCTTTCTCCACATCCTAATGACCTCACTATTTTCTTCTCACTCCTGGCCACACACTCCTCCACCACATCCCCCTGACCCAGAGACCAGCAGAAATAGAACCCCAAAAAGGAACAAGTCTCTCCAAAATAGAGAGTTACCACTTAACTAATCAAGTGGCCGGTTTTAATAGGGAACTTTACCTCCCCACCTCCCCCTTCCTTCAAAGGATTGGCGTGAGCAATGGTTTCATTTTCTGTTCCGGGAATCCTGGTACTTCCTAGAGAAAGAAAGCGGATTGGAAGACACAAACTCAGGGCCAGTGACAAGATGCTCCCTCCTCCAGTGAGACCGCCCCCGCTACGCCTGGGGGTGGAAGGCCCCACCTCTCTCCTCCAAGCTAGCTCGGATCCCCCCCCTCCCCCTTCTCCAGCCTCCTCTACACCCTCTCCCCACCTGCTGCCCTCTTCCCAACCTGCCCTTCCCAACATCCCAAAGCTGAGAGCAACCTCCCTGAGAACAGTGCGCAGCGGTGCTCCACCAGCAGGCCCTGATGCTAAACCCCAGTCCCCATGCCTCACGATGGGTGAGGGAGAATAATCACAGCAAGGCTTTTCTTTGGTCCCCCTAAAGCTCAGGCGGGGAGGAGAGGAGGGGGAAGAAAAGGCAGCATTCCTCACAGCCCTTCAACAGAAGGAAAAGATCCAAACAGCCACACCGCCCCCGCATCACCTCCCACTGGCCAGCATGCTCCCCTCAACCCCAACCCTCGAAAACTCCACCTCTGCAGCCCCAGGTCGCCCCTCGGGCGAGGCGGAGGACAAATCTGCGTGCGCCCCCAGCCCCCACCCCGGCTCGGCGTCCTTCAGCTGCGGGGGCAGGAGTGGGGCTGGGAAGCCCCCGCCCCCAGCTCTGCGAGAAGTGTCCACCGCACCTCGTCAGGCAGTGCTGGCAGGACCACGGCAGGGGCCCTAGGGCTCCACGGCCCCCACCCTGACCCAGCCAGCCTCTTCCCTGCCCGGACCCGCCTTCCCTCTCCAGCTCCGAACCTGATCCTGCTCCCGGTGCCGCGGCTGCCACCGCCACCTCCGCCCCCGCAGGTTCCGCCTGGCTCTCAGGCCGCTGCCTCCCTCTCCCCGAGCCGACCGCGGCGACGCTGGTCCGCTGGCCCGCTCCCCGGCTCCCTCCTTCCTTCCCTCCACCTAGCACCGGAAGCCGCGACGGCGACAGGAGATGTGCGGCGAACCCCACCCCCAGCCTGGGATACTTCCCACCTCCACGATCGCGCGAGAAGTGCGCGGTAGCGAGCGGCAGTTCTCGCGAGACCCATCACCATGGCAGCGGCTGCAGCAAAAGCGGTCGGGTGCTGAAGTTGAGTCTAGGCGGGGGCCTGTGTGGGGGCTGGAAGATCGGGAGGCAGAGTGTGGAGATGAGGCTGTGGGGACTGAGGTGAGGCTCCCAAGCTCCAGGGCCACTTTCTGGCTGCACTGGAGACTGGACTTGGGCAAGGGAGTCTCTGGGGTTTCTTCAGCAGAACCAACAGTGGAGTATGGATAGCAAAAACCTTTGCAGTAACCTTCCCTTAACTCCAGTCTTTATTTCTAGTAAACCACACGCACCCCACTTGCTGCGCCGCTCAACTAATTCCTAAGTTTCTCTGAGGTCAGAATCAAGAGATCCTTTCTCATAAAGGAGGAGGAGAGAAATTGATGCATTTAAGATACTGAAGGAAACATCTGAAATCCGGGTCGTTTAGGAAGTTGCACTGGAAAGACAAAGGAGAGAAACGTAATTACTCAGAGGCGGACCTGATGGAGTCTCTCTAGATGAGTATGGCTTTTAGTCCGCAAGGAAGGAGCACCCACGTTCCCTCCTTCTCTTACACTCACTTTTTTTTTTTTTAGCGTGATGGAGACACTGCCTGAGACTAGTTAGAAGTTATATTAGAAGCTGCGCTAGAGGGGTCCTCACTAGTAACAATGAGCGTCACGTTCTTTAAAATGCATGTAGTTAGTATAAGGGAACACAGTTCTTCCCTAGAGTTTGATCCCAAATCATTGCTCTTACCTTCTTCCAAGAAATAGGCAGGAAATCAGCCACTCAGTGTCTATCCTGTCCATCCCTGGTTTATGCATCCACCAGATCCTCTTCTACCAGTTTGTCTTCTCACATATGTTTACCTCAAGGAGAATAACATGACTGGCCCTCGCCTGGCTCCCAGCACTCAGGAGGCAGAGGCCGGTGGATCCCTGAGTTCAAGGTCAGCCTGGTCTATAGAGCACATTCCTGGACAGCCAGGGAAACCTGTCTAAAACAAAAATAAATAAGCAAACAATAAAGAATAGCCTGATTATAAAATATGAAACCAGGAGGCCCATAATTTAAGGAGGTGAGAGATGAAGTGTACGAGGGGCCTGTCCAGACTCACTGCAGCTGTGTCTCTTTCCTCTAGTAAGCTCTGGGATGGTTTTGTTGTTGTTTTTATCATTTATTAATTTAGTGTGAATGTGCTTGTGTGAGAGACTGTGGGCGCACGTGCGCCATAGCAAAGCGTGGAGGTCCGAGCACGTCTTTCAGGAGTTGGTTGCCTTTTACCTTGTCGGTGCAGGATCTCTGGTTTCTGCTGCTGTGGTGCACACTCCCGTCCAGTTCCACTCAGTTCTCCTGACTCCACACCCTGTCTTGCTGTCAGCATGCTGCGACTACAGATGCACCACAGGCATCCCGCTTTTTAAAAAATATTTGTTGTTGTTTGGTCGGTTTTGTTGTTTTGTTTGAGACAGGCTCACTATGCAGCTCCACCTGGCCTGTCACTCCCTTTGTAGGCCAGGCTGGCATTGAACTCAGAGAATCTGCCTTGCCCCGCCCCCCTGAGCACTGAGATTAAAGGCATGCGCAACACTGGGCATAAAGGATTTATTTTTAATTATATGTATACACAGATGTCTCTGTGTGTGTGTGTGTGTGCCTGTAAGTGCAAGGATTTGCTGCAGGAAGACAACTGTAAGATTCCCTGGACCTAGATTTACAAGCAATTATGAGCTGTCCCACATGGGTACTGGGAAGCTGGTACTTTAGAAGCAAGAATTTTTTTTTTTAAGATTTATTTATTTATTATGTATACAACATTCTGCCTTGATGTATGCCCACACGCCAGAAGAGGGCACCAGATCTCATTACAGATGGTTGTGAGCCACCATGTGGTTGCTGGGAATTGAACTCAGGACCTCTGGAAGAGCAGCCAGTGCTCTTAACCTCTGAGCCATCTCTCCAGCCCTAGAAGCAAGAGCTTTTTACACAGGTTCCGTGGGCCAAACTCAGGTCATCAGGCTTGTCTTGCTAGCACTTTTAATGGCTGAACTATCTCCCTAGCCCAAACTCTGGGTTTTTAAAGGCAAAAGACTCCCCAAATATAGTTACAGTGTTGGCTAGTTCTGTGTACTCGACACAGGCTAGAGAGTCACACAGGAAGAGGGACCCTCCATTGAGAAAATTACTCCATCAGATTGGCCTGTGGGCAAGCGTAACTGGAGGTATCTCTCCCGCCCACCAGTTCCCGATTAACCACTCTGGGGCTTAATATTGATTACAAACTATTTGGCCTATTAGGTCAGGCTTATTATTAACTAGCTCTTACAACTTAAATTAACCCATTTCTATTGTTCTATATTTTACCATGAGGCTCCTGGCTTGTTACCTCACATCTTGCTTTTCCAGTGGCTGCTGGCATCTCCCTAACTCTGCCTTCTTTCTCCCTCACTGCGTGAATTTCCAGCCTGGCTCTATTCTGCTCTGCCATAGACCAAAGTAGCTTCTTTTTTTATTTGTTTGTTTTTTCGAGACAGGGTTTCTCTGTAGCTTTGGAGCCTGTCCTAGAACCAGCTCTTGTAGACCAGGTTGGTCTCAAACTCATAGAGATCCTCCTGCCTCTGCCTCCCAAGTGCTGGGATTAAAGGCATGTGCCACCGCTGCCCGGCCAAAGTAGCTTCTTTATTAACTAATGGTAATAAAACATATTTACAGCATACAAAGAGACATCCCACATCAGGCAAACCTGTGGGATATTTTCTTTGATAACTGATACAAAAGAACCTTGCTCACTGTGAGAGGTACCACCCCTGAGCAGGTAGTTATCAGTTGTATAAGAAATCAGGCTGGCCAGGCATTGGTGGTGAATGCCTTTAATCCCAGCATTCAGGAGGCAAAGACAGGCAGATCTTTGTAAATTCAAGGCCAGCCTGGTCTACAAGGCGAGTTCTAGGACAGCCAGGGCAGAGAAACCCTGTCTCAAAAAAAGAAAGAAAGAAAGAAAGAAAGGAAAAGAAAAGAAAAGAAAAGGGAAGAAGAGAACGAAATCAGACTGAGAAGGCCAGGGGGAGCAAGCCTATATGCAGCACTCCTTCATGGCCTCTGCTTTAGCTCCTGCCTCCAGGTTCCTACCCAGTTCCTGCCCTGACTTCCAATGCAGTGATGTAATCTGCAATCTGTGAAATGAAATGAAACTCTTTCCTCCTTGAGTTGCTTCTGGTCATAGTGTTTTGTAACATCAAAGAGACCCTAACCTATGAGTGGGATAATTGCTGTCACAGGCCTGACCGTGTGTTTGCAGGGAAGGATTGTTTGTGGTAGCTTTTGAACTCTGGGCTGGAAAAGCCATTGCTTGCTGAGAGCTCAGTAGCCTGTTATGGGAACTTAGAAAGTGATGCTGAAGCTGTGCAGACAAGAGAGGCATGGCTTGTAAAGTTACTGGGAGAAACTTGAGAGTCCCTTAAAGATTCTGTTTGATATTTTCAATTAAGAACCACCAGAGTAGCCAGTGGTGATGCACACCCTTAATCCCAGCACTCAGGAGGCAGAGGCAGGCAGATCTTTGAATGTGAGGTCATTATGGTCTACAGAGCGAGCTACAAAACAGCCAGAAATACATAAAAGACAGGTCGCCTGTCTTAGAAAAAAGAAGAGGAGGAGGAGGACAACATCACTGAGGTGAAATCTCCTAGTGTTCCCTCAAAGTCAGCAATAATCTGTAGATCAATAATCTGTAGACTGTCAACTGTATTTGTAATGTATGAGAGTCTCCCAGTCAAACCAGGCGGTGGTGGTGCACGCCTTTAATCCCAGCACTCGGGAGGCAGAGGTAGGCAGGTCTCTATGAATTTGAGGCCAGTTTGGTCTACAAAAACTAGTTCCAGAACAGCTAAGGCCGTTACACAGAGAAACCCTGTCTCTAAATCAAAAACAAAACAACAAAAGTCTCCCAGCCATTACTGGTCTTGAAGGCATAAAGGAGCAATGGAGAGTAGCTAAGACTTGGCACTGAGAGACCATTGGGGAAGATGCAGCCTTCATTGCAGCAGAAGCCTCAGGATTGAAGGAATCATTGAAGTTGAGACTTTGCACCATGTGGCAGAGATAGAGTCCCTAAAAAGAGCCCAAGAAAATCTGTGGATAAAGGAGCAGTAGCAGCCCAGTAGCAGCAGAAACCTCCGCATTTTGGAGGTGCCAGTATCATGGAACAACTGCCAAGGACAGGAACTGTGGAGTCGAGTGGCCTGAGCCTAGGAGACAAGCTGACAGAGCTGGAGAAACGGAGCCCTTCGGGGCCCAGAGAATCATGAGTGGGTTCCAGCCATCAAACACTGAACTTTTTACAGTGCTAGACTTTGGTTTTGCATGAATCCGTTTGTAATTGCCCTGGTTTTTCCTTCTTGAAGTATGCAAAAGCATGTAGCTTATTTTTTAATTTTATAGGACTCCACACTTAAGAGACTTTGGAATTTTATAGAGATTTCAGGTATTTTAGAGAAACTTTAAACTTTTTTTTTTTGGAGCAGAGTAAACATAGATTTATTAAGAAAAAGCAAGAAAGATCTCCCTAGACTGGGGAGGATTCTGAGAGAAGAGTGCTCTGTGCTGTCCTGCCCAGTGAGTTCTTTTTTTTTTCATTATTGATATTTATTGAGTCTCTCTTAGTGTCTTCATTATTGTCTAAGTTCTCTGGGATTGTGGTTTGTAGGCTGGCTTTCTTTGCTTTATGTTTAAAAACCACCTATGAGTGAGGGCTGGAGAGATGACTCAGTGATTAAGAGCATTGCCTGCTCTTCCAACGGTACTGAGTTCAATTCACAGCAACCACATGGTGGCTCACAACCATCTGTAATGAGGTCTGGTGCCCTCTTCTGGCCTGCAGGCATACATTCAGACAGACTATTGTATACATAATAAATAAATAAATAAATAAATATTAAAAAAGAAACCCCT